CAGGCAACTCAAATGTAGCAAAATTTGTTCATCACACGATTTCTGCAGGCATATGTTTTTCTTCCTTTATTGAGGAGCGAATCCCGTTTTTTCTCCGTTTAACCATTGAAATAAATTATATACAGTATTAGGCATTTAGTTTACATTTTGGCCAAAAAATATCGTTAGTTGTCCACTAAATTGCGGCATTTGAAGGCATGTGGTATTAGCACTCAAACTTCACTTTTTGCCGCTTTTTTCTTACAGAAATGGGTGCTAGAAAACGTTCAGCGATTATCTTAATTATTCAATTAAATTATTGAATTATTAATTAGATTAATAATTTGATTATTAATTAGATATATTGAATCTGCTGCAAAGATTGTGAAGTTGGACTTTGCCTTGAACCCTGTTTTGAACTCTTAACATACTAAACTGCATTTCCAAGCTATTTTTCCCTCAGCGCTTTATATTTTCTTAAATTTTATGCATTTTACTTTTTTATATTATGCAATAAATAGAAATTAACTGTAATTCGACTGAAATTTATTTTAAAAAGATTTTTTTTTGGGTGATAACATCTGAAATTGGTTTTTCTGGCTACTTAGTTTCTCATGATAAAAATCTATATAAAAAATATTTTCTAGAAAGAAAAAGTGCATTTTCCAATTCTCCAATATATATAGATTTAAAATATGAAAAAAAAAATTTTGGAAGAGATTTTGGTCCACAAATTGAGCTGTCAGAGGGTTAATGTCACAATTTCTAAATTTTTAAATGTATATCAGATTTCTGCTAAAGATCTATGATTATGCAAATTTTGAGATTTTAAGGTTTAAAAATAGAGTTGTTTCTTAAACTTTTATACACAGAATAGTTTAACTTTTATATGTGTAGAGCCATTGATGATAGCATATTAGTAAATATCTGTCTCTCAGGTTTAATCATGGATAACCACACTGGTACTAGTAGCAAATGAATAACATGACAATAATGAATGTGATTTTCTTTCTCCAAACCAGTTTCTTTCTTTTATGAATGGTTCATCTGTATCTGTCAATGCTAAACCTCCACAATATGTGTTTTTCATAAGTGATTTAAAATTTTACTGTATGGGAAATGAGCAATATCCAAAATTTGAAAAACCACAGACTTACATAATTATGAAATTGGAGAGGAGGTTAAGAATAAGCAAATAGTACAAGATTAAATGTATGGTTAACCGAAGTTAAGTATGATTTATGGTTTTCAAAAGCTAGTCAGATATTTTTCAGTTTGTTATCTTCAAAAATACAATGTTGCATTGTTAGCTAGTATTGCAATTAATAAATAAGTACCAAAGACTTATAAAATAAAAAAAGTTACATATTGTAAACGCATTATCTTTTACTGTAATATAGCGAAATATAAGGGCCATACTGCTGTAGTAGTAAAATAACTAATCTGAGTTAGCACTGGAGGTCTGAAATGACAGTTTTAAAACAATATATGGGGGGGGGTCTTCGGAATTTTATTATAAGATGAATAATTTTGGTGCAGACAGTTCAACTAAAATTAACATTGGATGATACCTTTAAAACATGCTTTATTATAAATAAATATTGCAGAATCTCACCTTTTTGGGAAGCATAAACTAACCTTAGAGTCAAGTTGAAGCTAAGCAACTTATAGCTGTGTTCAGTAAGAAGACGAACTTACAAAAAGGTGTAAAAGACCCTTTTATTTAACTCAATATTTTAATAGAAAGCATGTCTTGTGCTTACAAAACCACCCAACATTTATGGTTAATTCAAAAGTAATGAATTTCGAATTAATTTAGGTTAAGTCATAAGTTAGCCAAAGGCTACACAGAATGAATAACTTGGTAATTGATTCAAAATTATGCCACCGTGACAAACCACAATGTGAAGAATACGCAACACCGCAGGCAGACAGCTATTGAAAAAATTCAACTAGTAATGTGGGCTTCAGCAGGTGGAACATGTTCTGATTAAATAATCTAAAACCTTTCTTTAAATACTCTATCTCATTTGAATATGCACAAAATAAAATTAACATTCTGGCAGGAAAATGGAAAGGGAGAATGACAGTAAAGGTACTGAACATGAAATGACTAGTTAAATAAATAAATCCTTAAAGTATCTTTTTTGCTTTTATAAGCATTTATTTTATTTATTTGATGACTATCAAACACTTTTGTCATTCCATAGGAAATTTATTTTAGTTACAATGAAATAATAATAAACTTATAGAATTACTTTCAATAGATGTAAGATTTGTATTCCAGCAATAAATACACTCTTTTGGAAAAAAAAAAAAAAAAAAAAAGTACCATGAAGGAAGTGGTTGTTTTTGATGAAATTGAATATGTGTATAGCTCATACACAGGTAATAAAATGATTAAAAATCAAGGTCATAGTACCTGTTCACAGCTCACAGTCACCCATTGAGTGTTCAAATTAGTAGTTGGTCGAACCGCTCCTGGCAGCAATGCATGCTTAAATTCGTCAAGGCAAGGAGTGATAGAGGCTCCTAATGTCATCCTGCGACACATTATGCCAACCATTCATCAGTTGTCGCTCCAGATCTGTGATATTTTGTGGTACCCAAATCTGGCAGCCTACGATATCCCAGATTACACGATTGGTGAAAAAGGTCTGGTGACTTTGCTGGCCAAGGAAGAGTAACAACCGCTTAGAGACAGTACAGAGATATACGAGTGGCATGTGGCCTGACATTATCTAGGTGGAAAATGGCCCCAGGATGACGTGCCATGAAGAGTAATGCAACTGGCCGCAGGATGATATCAACATATTATTGAGCTGTTAAAGATGTATGGAGGATGACTAAAGATGACCTGCTGTTACAGTGATAGAGGCTCCTAATGTCATCCTGCGACACATTATGCCAACCATTCATCAGTTGTCGCTCCAGATCTGTGATATTTTGTGGTACCCAAATCTGGCAGCCTACGATATCCCAGATTACACGATTGGTGAAAAAGGTCTGGTGACTTTGCTGGCCAAGGAAGAGTAACAACCGCTTAGAGACAGTACAGAGATATACGAGTGGCATGTGGCCTGACATTATCTAGGTGGAAAATGGCCCCAGGATGACGTGCCATGAAGAGTAATGCAACTGGCCGCAGGATGATATCAACATATTATTGAGCTGTTAAAGATGTATGGAGGATGACTAAAGATGACCTGCTGTTACAAGAAATAGCGCCCCACACCATCGGTTATGGCTGTATGGGTTTGTAAAACAAAGACTGATTGGGACTGCTGGCCCCGTCCTCTCTCAATACAAACATGGTGGTCATCTGCTTCAAGAGTGAAGCGGGATGTATTGCTGAACACTATATGATGCCAGTCTGTTAAATAGTTGACTACGATGCCATTGGGGTGGTTTGGGCCTGGCAAACAATCATCCTATCTTGCCTCTCGCATTTGTGATCCTTGGCCTTCCAGAGCTTTATTTTGTCGGCAGTTTCCTTGTAGCAACCATTGCTGCCAACATCTTTGCATAGCAGTGTCTGTACGCTGTAGGTGGTAGCCTGTTGCTCGGTATGACCACCCAGCATCATGCAACCCTACAATGCGACCACGTTTGAAGTTGTGTAGTTGTCTGTAAGGTCTTCGATATTGTCGTAATGGCATCTTTAGTTGCTTTTTTACAGAATGACAATGGCTGAAAAAAAAAAAAAAAAAAAAAAAAAAAAACTAAAATATCCGCCTTTGTTACTGGTTTTATACTTTGCAAATTGTGCATTAGTAATGAACACTATGATCTCAATTCCTGTTCATTTGCCTTGAAACTGTTACCATTTGCATGCTCGATCAAGATGTTTTTGCATATCAAATTTTGTCACGATCGCAAAAGTCCTTGGTGCTTTGATTTTTTTTTTTTTTTTTTTTTTTTTTTTTTTTGCAAAAGAGTGGAGTTTTAACTGACAAAGTTCAATGTCTGCTGTTAATTTTACTAGAAAAGGAAGAAATAAAAGGATTGTTTCTTCTTCTGGAAAGTTTATTTTTCCATTGATAAAATAATGCACAAATGAAGGTTGAATTTTAATGATCTTAAATTAAAGACTAATATTTTTTTCATCCCATCGTCTGTAAAACTGTTGCCAAGCAATGCAACCTAGATTCGATTATGAATAAGCAGTATTGTAAAACACATTCATTACACCTATACTTTGTTTTGACTTAACCTGATTGATTCTTCATAAGCCATTTTATTTTTGTTTTTATGAGTAAAGATATAAAAAACAATTTTTGATGTATTTATTTTTGCAACTTGACAAAAATTACCGTATTTGACGGCATATAAGACACACTTTTTTTCCTAAATTTGATCTCAAAAAAGTTACCTGCGTCTTATACGTGAAGGTAATTGCATTGAATAATTGTTTATTTGGCTTTTATGAAACGTGAGAACTAAAAGAAACCACGCTATTGAAACTTTTTTTCCTTGTGTGTGGCCGTCTAAATAAGGGTGCGTCTTATATGGCGTCAAATACGGTATTAAAATTTGGAACATGCTTTCTGTAGAACAGCAATCTGTGGAATATTTTCAAAGTTATGGGATCGGAACATGAAAAATCATTTGTGTGCATTAATGGGCACAATATGGCTAGCTAAATATATTCAGCAAAAACAATGTATTAAAGAATTATTTGTAGGATTCTAAACAGAATTTCCAGTAAAAATGGAGAGCCTAGCAAAATAAGAGACATTTATGAAAGCCTTCTTATAAAGTGCGAAAATGAAGCAATTCAATTGTTTATTAAATAAAGAAGTGTGTGTTCTACATGATTTGATAGGAATGACTGCCACAATTTTGGTGAGACATCCTCAGATTTTCAGGGTTCCATGATAGTCGGCTTTCATAATCGACAGGAGGATATGTAACTGTTCCCCCCCAAACCTAAAATAAATTTAAATCTTATCTACTGCTGTAATATCATTTCATGAGTTCAGCAACATTTTGCCTTAGAATTAATTATATTTATTTTTCAGGTACTCCAGTATTATGTGCCTTAAATTCCTCTAACAAATTATATGAAGTTTTACATCACGTTGATGAATTATCATCATGGTTTTATGAGGAATCTGTTATAAAAGGTATTCATAATTTTCTGTTAAATAATTTATTTGACTCTTAAGTTCGATGAAAGTGTTGAATTTATGTTTTTTTTTTCACCTGTGAATTATCTTAAATTAGTATGCTGTTGATATATGCTGTATTTTTTATGTCAAATAAATAATGAATTATGATTAAATAAAAAAAAACTAAGTGTTAATAAAACTTACAGTTATTTCCTTAATGTTTTCATAGTTTTATTTTACTTTCTTTCATTATGCTGAGGAAAAGTTTGAATAAATTGGTTTACTTGGAAAAGAATAGACAGGACAGGACTAAGTGTGGGAAGCACCAACACATCGCCATTGGCAGAACTGGTGTCGCTCCTTCATACTAACCGTCTTGAGATGAACACCTCCACAGGGCGTACTTAAGCCAGGCATCGGTGTTAATTGAAATGTTAATCATTGGGGCATAGGGAACTTGTGGTACGGAAGATACAGTTGCTGATGACAATGACATAACAAATACAATACCACAGTTGATGGTGAAACTATAAATATAAATATATGTACACAAATAAACAAAAAGAAATGAATGGAAAAACATTAAACAGTATTATCTTGGCTAAGTTATTGTGATATTATTGGGACAGTATAGCAGTTCATAGATGGTTCACAGTTCATTGACAGTTCATGAATTGGGTTAGAGTTCATACATACAGTAGAGTTCACCAGTTCCAGTTATGCCATTTTTAATGTGCATAACTGTGGTCGTATTGTCTAGGTGCTAAATCTGTACTGACATTGATACACTAAGATAAACTATTGCAATGACTAACTATAAAGGCACCCCTATTGGAAAACTGGCGTTCGTACCGGAGAAGAAGAAGCACTTAAAACAGTTATGGAGCACACAGTTCCAAGCCATGACGGTGGAGTGTGTCAATTATGTTTTTGATACTACTGTGGATTTTTCGGTGCTTTATCAACAAACGTTTGAAGTCTGTTCCTGGTGCTGTGGTATGGCAGATATGATAGTCTTCTGTTATTGGGCGTTGAAATAAATAATGGTCTGGATCACCCAGATTGCCACAGACGCATATTTCAGTCTCTGAAAGGTTTCGTTCATAGAAGTACTTTGGGTACGGTCCATGACCAGAGATATATTGAGAGAGATAATAATTATAAATGGTACGCTCAGTATCGACACATGGGAGAAGTGAATGCGTCCTTCTGCCTTGCGGTCCTTGATCCCATTGTCTCTGCCACTCTTCTTTGGCCATCACTTTTAGAGTAAACTTCAGTGTGGAACGTGGCCATGGGATGTGGATGGTAGTGCCTGACTGTTCAAGGGGTGCCCTGCTTTGCCAGGAAGTCCGCTCTTTCATTCCCGGCGCAATTGCTATGACCTTTCGTCCACGTAAGAATGAAGTTCTTTTGGCTGGAATTGATAATTGTTTGTATTTGATAGGCTATTGGTGAATTTGTGCAGGGATTTTTAATAGCATAGATTGATGATTGGCTGTCACTTGACGATATGGACTCTGTCCGTTGGTAGTTGATGGAGCTCTTGCATACTGTAGAGGATTGCTGTCAGTTCAGCTTGGTGCACGCTGTTTAGATCTCTAAGGTACCCTTGCCATTCTGTGTGTGAGCTAAGGTTATATTGGATGGTTGCAGCGCTGCCAACCTTTTGTTCGATCTTTGAGCCGTCAGTGAAAGCCGTGTATTCCATTGTGGGTGGTGGTTTGTCGAAAATGCAGTGCAGGTTTTGAAGATTCAAAGCTGGGTGATGAAAGTTCTTTTTAGGCTGATCTTCGTAGTCTGTTGGGTGAAATGTGGTCTCATTAAAGTTAGTTGTTTTCTTGAGTTGGAGGACTGTTGTGGAGATTGCATCCATTTGTGCTTGGATTGGGAGCACACCTGCCAGTGTCTGTAGGGCGTTGTTAGAGGTAGTTGAGAATGCTCTGGTGATTTTATAAGGAAAGGTCTTTGTATGGCGTATGGCGTTTTGCACCTTTTGTTGGTCATAGGTATTGCCCAAATAGCGGCTCCATATGTAATGATCTTGTTAACCACGGTTGTAAGTAGTATTTTCATAATTCGGTGGTTCAAGCCCCATGAGTAACCACGCATTGTGTTCAGAGCTTGTGCTATTTTCATAGTGGTGAGTTTTTTGTTGTGTAAGTACTGAATCCAGTTGAACTTGTTAATGGTGAGGCCGAGGTAGTTAACCGTTTCCACGCATTGGGTCCTGTGGTTGTCTATTTTAAATGTGGGATTTCGAGTTATAGTTCGTCCTGGTTTGTGGACAATCGGTGCCTGCGATTTTTGGTGTGAGATCTGTAGTTCTATTTTTTTGCATAGAGCGTTGAAAATTTGAAGGGTGCTATTGCGGTTTTCTTGGAGTTGTTCTCTGGAGCGGCCGTTGATGATGAAAGCAACATCATCTGCAAATGCTACGATTTGTGTGTGGGCAGGCCAGTGATGGTCGATAATATGGTTAAAAGTGAAATTCCAGAGGTCCGCGCTCATACACGATCCCTGTGGACATCCTCTTGCTTGTTGCTTTGTGATGACCGAATTGTTGTGGAGTACTATGCTTTTTCTATTATGCAGGTAGTCAGCAGTTGTTAGCTAGAGGTTTCTTGGACATTGAAGGTCTCTGAGGGCCTGCTTGACAGAAGGCCACCAGAGGGAGTCAAAAGCATTCTTCAGGTCGAGGCATAGCAACACAGAGTGTAGCTGTTGGCTTTTGTTAACTTGGATTTGCGTTAGTGCTGTATCGATGGCATGAATGGTGGAGCTATTCGGTTTAAATCCGAATTGGCGAGAGCTGATTTTATTGTCCTTGAATACATGGTATTTCAGTCGGTTTATGAGGAGTATTTTGAGTAATTTTCCAATAGCTGGTAGAAGATTGATCAGGCGGTACGAGCTTGGATCCTCTGGATTCTTGTTCTTCTCTGAGAAGAGCACTATTTGTCCAATTTTAAAACAATCGGGAAAACACTGGTGAGCCAGACATTTGTTGTAAAACTTGAGTAGAATTTCTGGAGATGCTTTGTTGATGAGCAACTGAAGGACTTGGTTATTAATGCCGTCGGGGTCTGGTGCTTTGGCATTGTTAAGGGATTTTACTATTTGAAGTATTTCCTTTCTTGTGAATGGAATGTCATCTGGTGTGTTTGGTGTTTGTGTGGATGATCTTAGTTCTTTTTGCTCCGGTGTATCTTCTGCACTGTCATCTTTTAAGAAGACTTGGTCCAGGATACCGTTGATGGTGGTGCTCGTGAGGTCCGTGGCCATTACTTTGTGATGTATTGGTTGTTGCGTGTATTTGAGTTGGTTTATAAATCTTGGAAGGGGTCATTTTGTAAAGGGCTCCATAGGTAGTTTGATTTTTCGTACAGTAGGTAGTCCAGGATTTTAGTTTTGCTTCAATTAGTTTCTTTTTGTAGATTGCACGTTGCTTGTTAAAGTCGACCCATGCTGCTTTGCGTTCCTCATCGGTCGTTTCTCCTTTTCATTTTTCGTCTTAGGAGCTTTGGTTTTTTGGCGCTCTGCTCGTAGATTCCTTGGTCCACCAGTTGTGGCTTCGTGTTGTGGTTGACTGTTTTGACTTTTAAGGGACGTATGGCTGATTTCTTGGATATGCTTGGTAAGAGTTGTAGCATATGCATTAACTTCATCTTTGGAGTTGATGCTTTGAATTTCATGGAGAATGATATGTGCTTTGGAGTTCAGAGCATTTAGCAAATTTCTTTTCTGCATTTCGGTTGAATGCGATAATGTAGCGTTTGAGTGTGCGGAACCTCGAATACGATATCAAAAGTAATTATTTGATGGTCCTGAGATGGACTCATCTTCGCAAATACGACGATTGTTAATCCTGTTGATTAAAGTGATGGGAAGAGAGTGTTAGGTCTGGCCACCCTTTTCCGTTGATTGTGACAAAGGTTGGCGGGTTTTCTGGGGTATTGTGTAGTAAGAGGTTATAGGCGTTGATGAAATCTTCCATCTGCATGCCTCTGGTGTTGTTACGGGGATAATCCCATAAATTACTGTGGGCGTTAAAATCTCCAGAAATCAAATGTTGGTGTGGGTGTCTTTGAAGTATATGGTGGAGATCGTGAAGTGTAGTCTCTAGATCCTCACTTGGTGACGCGTAAGCACTGGTAAAGTAGAGATCTGAATTTGATATTGAAATTGAAATAGTGATAATATCTCTGTACTTCTTGAACTATTAGTGACCACGTCTTGTTGATGATGTAGATGGCAGCTCTTGGTGCTTGAGATGAGTCCGTAACTTTGTGCGAAATTACATTCCATGTTGTTGGCAGGTTTCGTAAAGATCCTTGGTGGAATTAAGTGATTTATATCATTTCTCTGACAGTAATGTAAAATTAAGTCTGCAATTTTATTGAGGCAAGGGTTGTGTCTGTCATGGACTTAGGTCTGGGCATTTTATAGGTGGCAATATGATTTTGCCCAGTTCTATTGTAGTTTTTAAGAAGAATCCCAGGGTGTGGGGATCTAGGGTCTTCTACTTCCATCAGCCTCTATAGAGAACTTTTGGCTAGATGATATTCTGCAAAGATGCTATACATACACAACCATCTATGCCTTCTATGGGATTCAAACCCAAGCCAAAGATTATGGCAACTGGCTCCTTTACGAACTTGCCAGCAAGCTGTATTTTTTTCAAGTAATTTTTATGTATTTAATGATGCTAATCTCAATTATGGATTGAGAATTTTGCTTCATGCTTCAGTTTTTAGAATCAGTTTTAGTTTCTTTCTATTTATATTGTTCTTAGCAAAGCTATTCTGCTGATAATTCCAATGAGTAGCTAGTGATAAATTATATTGTTAGTTTCTTTCACCTTGTCTTGTCTTCTGTTCGCTTTTTTGTATATGATTAGAAATAATTCTGCTGTTTGCTACTAGAGCTTTTAGAAACTCCAATATTTGTGATAGCTTGTTGATCCTTATAGACTTCCAAAAATACTGTTTTTGATCTTATTAATGGAGACATGTAGCTAAGCTATTTTTAAAATAAAAGATTTTCTTCTTAGTATAGTACTTAGTATAGTATAGTACTAATAGATAAATCATCGCATGATGCTTATCTCTCAATAAAACTTTTCGCCAATTACAGCTCCCCTCACATTTGCCTTAAGCAAATTTGTTTTCACCAAATCTTTTTGGCAGCAGTAGTTAGCTACTGTCTCAACGGTAACACTTCGGATAAATATGTATTTGGAAAAATTCATAGCATGTCTGTAGATATGTGGCAATAGTTTGTTTTTTGGTTTATAGTTTGAATCACTTAATATAATGAAGGAGGTGAAGCTGCCTAGTAGAAAAACTGGTCCTAAAATGTCGCGTTCACTAGATGGCATTGCTGTTCCATTTTAGCAGTTCCAAATCTAAACATTTATTGAGTAGCCAGGCGGCTAAGCTTACTAGCGGATCTAACAAATGTTTATGTTTCCATGCGATAGATTGCGTTATTGTCAACGTTCGAAAAATAATTCTTCTCACGTTATGATAGGCATATCAATTAATAAATTAATAAAATTAATTTACAGCTTACGTGCTGTAAATTAAGGCTTGTAGCACTTTTTATGAATGATTAATCTTGAAGATATTTTTCAGTCCCCCCCCTGAGAAAAATATCATATTACTAGTAATAATACTTGCTGTATGTATGTTAAATTTAATTAGAAGAGGTTCTTCACGTCTCTCACAGCTTGATATAAATTGTGGCAAAATTTTAATGAAGCTTATAGAATTTTTTGTTTCAGTCAGTAAATTTTCTTTACTATCATAATGAGTTATTCTTTTTTATGAATCAGATGTCAGTTTTGATTTTGATATTTTTATCATTTTCTGTTAAAAATTTCCATATCTGTTATTGAGAAGTATGTTTCAGATTGATTTCACAAGATTTTAAAATAGAATTTGGATTTGAATTCGATTAAGTGTTCTGAACACTTGGTTATACTGAACTGTATATTGTTCATAATTAAATATAAAGAGTAAAAAATATTGAAACTAATTCAATCTGTCTTTAATTTTGTCCTGCTTGAACTAACTTCTAACCAATAAATGCAGTATTTTAACTAAAAATAAAAACCTATTTCAAACTGAAAAGAAGGGGGGAATGAGTTTATCTTCTTTTCTGTAAATGAAATAGAAGAGCAAATACTCTATCATTCTTGTATAGTTTCAGAAATTTATTTAACTTTAAAATTTAACAATTGCATACTTTCATGGACGAAATGCAGATGCACATAAGTTATGTGCAATATTTAACTAATTCCAATTTATTACTTTTTTTATAAGCCTACAGTAAATATTCTCTTATTTACTAACAATCCAGACGTTCTGAAAAGTTATATAAATTCGTATATGTGATCAGGCATAATATAAATGTTGCTCACCTTTGAAACTCTAAATATATCTGGTTTCTTGATTCCCAAGCTTTTATTCTTCAGTCTAACAGTTCCATAACCACTGTTGTATCCAGGGACGAAACAGTTTCCATTATTTGACTTTTTCATTATGAAAATATCAAATGAGAATATCAAATCAGTATTTTTGCTATTACTGTCTATGCAAAATACTACGAAAAGACAAAAAAACTAGTGATTGCAGCGCCCTCTATAAATAATGCAACAATAAGTAGACCATTTTTTGGAAAAGTGGTAATATCAGTTCTCCTCCATCTTTATACTCTGTGGTTTGAATACACAAAACACCGTGGCTTTCAGCATGAGTGAAATAGTAGGCACAAAGGGAGAACTTTACATTAAAAAAAATTATACCTAAAAATGATACATTAACTCCAGAAATTCTAGATAATTTTTGAGTCGTTAGTACGTTTTCAGAAAAAGTAATTGTTTTTACATGGACATGGTTTGATAAAAATAAATTTTTGATAGCAATTAATAATAATGATAATGATAAATTCTGTTTATTGAAAATGTACCAAAATTAGTTAATTAGGCTTTAATTGCTCTTTTGGGCTTGTGGACGTATAGATAACTTGCAGGCTTAATAAACATTAATGATGTTGATATGACCATAGGAACTGAGTTGCACTTTCAGGTAGCCCAGATGTTTGCTTATTTATATGATTTTGCTGTTGCCTGGTTAAATTTGGTTTATTTGACTATGGCAAAGCACTCAATGGCTATCTGCCTAAGGGAAGAGATGCCTTTGTGGAAGACGTTGTGAGGGAAATTGGCTTATATGCTATATATGAGGAAAACAATGAAAATGCCAATGCAGCTAATCCATTTGCCAGAATTTGGCCCAAACTTTCAGTGTTCAGCGACTTTACCACTTGTACATTTCCCATCTTTGCATTTATGATGCTTTGGTCATTCAGTGAACTTCCCTTCCAAAAATTTAAAAGTTTCTTTATATATATTCTGTTTCTGAAGTACAGTTTTAATGATTTTGTAAAAGTTTTGCAATGAAGGTCAGTGCTAATATTTCTTGATTACAAAAATAATGGAAGTTTAATTTCTTGGCATTTTATAAGACATCTTTTTTATTTGGTGTATCATATAAAATATTGCATTAAATCTTTCTAATTCTAAGCATTTAATATACCTACAACAGAAAAAAAAAAAAAAAAAAAAAAAAAAAACCTGCAGACTGCAATTTTATAATTTTCTGTGTTAAATAATGCATTGTTTAAGTGTTCTAAATTTCCAACTACTATTCCCTAATATAAATGTGTCCTTTTGCTTTAGATGGTAGTTTATTTTTTTTAACTCCAGCTGATCCGCTATTCTTTGTTCTTCCATACATTAACCAGGTAAGTAATTGATTTTTATTGGATTTTTTTATCATTTAAGTATATTAGTCTTTTTATTTTGTAAACCTTTTTTATTAAGCCTTTCGGTACTACTGCCACCACTGACAGCAGCCACGGAACCTTCTCTGAGTACTCCTGTTGCCCTTTGGTGACAGCCATGAAACATTCTTTGGATATTTCTGATAGGGGTATTTGTATGGCTACTATCGCCACAGGTCACGAAATGTTCTCTGGATACAACTGCCTCGCTATTTAAATTGGCATTCATGGAGAGTTATGTGGGTATGATTACTGGCTGTAGTATGCATTACTTTGCATGTGACACATCACTTCATCATTCTATGTGTAAAATGTCTAGCTGCTGTAATTGTTCCATTATATGATAAGTAACAGTCAACAACATGTCTGAATTATATATATATATATGCTATAATATATTGATAAGCTACAGAAAACAAATAGATATGTTTGCTTATATCATAAATTCTTTTAATACTTTACTTATAATTTGAATTTAGTTCCCTTCAAGATGAGTGCAAAACATTTGAAAGGAGAACAATGGATAAAGGAAATAATTGATTCAGGAAGTGATTCTGATGAAGAAAATTTGTATAATTTTGCATTTCGTAAAAGGCAGAAAAACAATCGAGTACATATACTTAGCATTTCGGAATATAAGAAACAAGGGAACCTGAAATATGAATTCATACGCCTTCTGGTATCAAATGGACTTCTCAGAAATTAGCCTAAAAATTCATGATATTATGCTACGGCATTTGAAAGTACTAGGAAACAATATAAATCACTCATTGAGAATTTTAGATTACTTTCAACTGCTTTTTTTTTTAAGATTTAATTCAATTTATTGTGGAAAAAATACTGGTGTTGATGACTTAAAAGGGATCACTTGGGAGTTTGAGAAGGGACAGAATTGAACAAATTATATTGTTTTATTGCTCTGTCATTATTAATGATATGAAACGCAAGGGTATCCTTAAAGGAATATTGGTGTAAAGATAAGCTTCTCTGAAGCTATATTTTCAGTGAAATTATGTCCAGAGATCAGGACCCCAAATTTTCCTGTTCAGACAGGCAGTGAGATAAACTGCTTATTTTAATGATTTCGCTGCACCTTTTTGACTTGGCACCATCGTTCGCTGCACGCTTTGACTTAGCACCATCGTTTGCTGCAAGTCAAAAAGCCGCTGTGCTATCATTAAAACAAGCAGTTCATCTCACTGCCTGTCTGAACAGGAAAATTCATGTCTTATTTGATTGGCCCTCCGTGGGTTGACTCAGGTAAAACCTGGGAAGCTACTGATTAGGATCTGTACCTATGCAATCTTGGTCATAGGTGTTTAAAATCAGTCTCCACAGGACTGGAGTCATCGTTAGCGATGGTTGTTCCAGGCACAGCAGGGACCATATAGCATACTTGCCCATTCTCGTCCGGTTGTGGTTGAGCTATATAGTCAGATATTCATGGTTGTCCGGGGGGAAACATCCCCATTGGTGAATTCAGCCAGCCTTTAAAGTGCTTGGGGTTTCGAGTGGCGCCTGGAGCCTCAAAACTGCATATTCATATCCTTCCATGGTTCCCCCTTGTGGGCATTTAAAGCCGACATCTGTATACCATGATGTAGTGTTAGCAGGCCGAATTGGTGGCCTGGTATGTCTGACAGTGTTTAAGTGACTTCGTTCTGCTGTCTGGCTTTGGGGTCCCTGTTGATGGCAGATGTTCTTACCATCCCTCCAGAAAGGGGACGTGGAATGTGAGTTGCTGAGTCTTCTTGTCGACTTAGCTTAGTCTTAGCTCGTAGGCTCGACCAATATATTAGTGGCCTCTTGGATCGCCTCTAGGGGTTGGGACGTTTAACTGTGTTAAGGCAGCCTCAAGCTTCCTAGGTCTGAGTGCTTCTTCCTATTAGCACACTGTCTTATTTGACTGAAAGATATAACCAGGGCAGGAGTTCGTCTTTGGTGTCCTTTATCTGTCTTATTTGAGCGTGAAAATATGTGATGCCAATGCGTATGTAAGGGTAGACACATTCGACAAATTGCTTAATCCTTATTTTGTGTCTACTGTTGCAATAGTAGTAATTTGTGCAACATTTATCATTTTTGTTATTGGTTTTCTACATAAAAATAGTTAAGTGAAGTTACATATTATGTTAAACTTAGATTAAATTTTAATTTGGAAAAACAACGATTTGAGCATAATTACTCGAAAACTGTTTACCTCTCATGTTTAAACCATTGTCGTATTCTTGGCCACGTAAATTACTAATATCTAAACCATTTTCCTCTGAAGTCTTTAATAAGAATGTTCATCATTCACCTGTCGTATCTGTTGAAACACAAAATACTAAAAACCTTTCTTCAATACTCATGTCTGTATTTTCTTAAGGTACCTCATACAAATTAATAACTGCTTTTGATGACTGACATCAGGGGTACAATCAAGTAGAATAGAAAAATACTTTGCATGTTTGACTTTAAACTAAAAAAAAAAAAAAAAAAAATCTTTATATTTTCTCCCAATAAGCTAATTGTTTTATTTTGAATTTTATCTTCAAGGTAATGAAGCATATTTTTTGAGTTTGAATTTTATTAATATATACAGACATGATAGGGTCAAATTTTGTGATAATTTCATTATTAAATTATTATTTCTTTCGAATAACTTGTTACTGGAACCACGGAAGGCTTAAAACTGAATTTCAAATTAACAGGTTAATTCTTTCGTAATTATTCTAAAAAATTGAACCAAAGATGCAGATTCCAGAAATGCATTTTATTTTTTTCATGAAGTTTGAAGTGCTCATTTAAATGGTTCCAGTTGTTAAATTCAGAACTACTCAGTTTTACGTTGCTGAAACTGTTAAAAATTTTGCAACAAAAACAATAAACATAATGTTTTCAGAAGAATTTAACAACTAATCATATTTAACTCTTTGGTTGTTTTGCAAAATTCGATAAAAGTACATCTAAAAAAATTTGCATCAATTTTTGTCTTTTGGGAAACTGAAATTCGAAACCAGATTATCCAGGATAATTTTTTATTAAGGCTTGAACTTGGAATGGCAATAATGGACTTGAACATAATCCGGAATCATCAGGAACAAGCAGATGCGTATCTACTGCATGTAGATTTCACTAGTATTTTTTCTGTTTTTTTTCGACCGGCTGCATTGAAGTTAAAGGTCATTCACGGGTGAAAACACTTTCTAACAGTTACTGATTATTAGGTTCTTTTGGTAATTTCAGTGGTAGCGTAGATGTTGATGGACAACTAGTGCTAGTAGCATCATCTTGGATATTCCGTAGGTTTTGGAAAAACTGAGTAATTTTAAGTTCTGGTTTATTAAGCCTTCCTCTCACTTTCTTTTTCTTTGTTACATTGATACTCAGCCAGATTTTTCTGTTTTTCTCCCGACATCTGAGGAAAAATGAAAACAAGAAAAGCAAAAGTAGAAAATAACTATTATAAGAACTATTGTGTAAAACACTTTTTCTTAAAAACATTCGGAAAGTCACTGAAATATTTTACCTTACTAGTGAAAAACTGAGTATATCTTAAACCATTCCTTGGAAAATATATGAAATATTGCATCAATACCAAATAATTCAAAAAGGGAATACTACTCTTTTGTTTATTAAAGTAAATAAATCAAATTTAAAGTATGTATTTAAAACATAATGATATAACGAAGCATTTTCCTTTGGTTTTCCATATAGCTAAAAATCGGAGAATGGCAAATTTTGTATTTCAGAATACCTTGTATATTTTTACTTCTTCAAATCTCAAACAGGTATAATTTAAATTCAGTGATACTCCGTAAACATGCCAATTTTTCATCACAAAAGATACTAATTCTTAATTTAATAAACAAATGGTTGATGTAAAAAAAATTATTTTTGAGTAATTATGCTCAAATCGTTACTTTTGTGAATCAAAAAGCTAGCCTATGTTTAACATAATATGTAACTTCACTTACCTTTTTTATGTAGAATTTCAATAACAACAAGCTGTAACAAAAAAAAAAAAAAAAAAAAAAAAAAAAAAATCACAAAATAGATAAATGTTTTACAAATTACTACCATTGCAACAGTAGACACTAAATAAGGACTAAGCAATTTGCCGATCACGTTGACAGCGCTGGCCTGTACCAACACATTCATAAACACTGGCCTTCCTACTGGAGGCTCGTAGTTTTAGTGACGTCACAAACTGTTGGCTTTCTCGATGGGGTGCGAAAGATCGCCCCTAAACCAAGGCCATCTAGATGGCATTAGCAAGTTAGGGGAATTTCATCCTTGGTCGTGAGAAGGCACGTGAACCAAGTCAGCTTAATTTAAACTTGATATTTTATTTTTTCGATTTCCATCATGCCTTTAAAATACTGTGTGCCGTTATGCCGGGAAAATTATGGTGACGTTCCCTTGAAACAGTGTATAGATTTCCTAAGCAACAAGATGTATTACATAGATGGTTAAAATCGATATCGCGAGAAAATTTTACCATTTCCAAGTATTCTCGGCTAAGTTAAGCCAAACTTGAAATTTAAATTTATTAAGGTATTTGCTTCTGTATTTAAAAGAATGGATACTTTAATATTAAGGAATTTCATTTCTATAGAATACATTATGTATAATATTGTGTAATCACGTATCGATTAGTATAATTATGTGTCGAATTGTATGGTTTGTAATTATGTATCAAATTGTATCCTAAATATTCACTTACTTTTTAAAATGTCCAATTTTTTACATTTTGATTAATTTTATAACTTGGAAAACCTTTAACTTCATACATATATGGCAGAAAATGAAATTATTTAACTTAATAATATTTAATATATTTTGGTATTAAAAGTTTTTCTAAAGAAACTGTGAAGGCAATAAATATTTTTTTGGTTTTTTAAATTGTAATATAAAGTGCACAGTTTTGCATAAAACAAGAAATAATTTAAATTCCTAATGCATGAAAATTCAAATAT